CTGGCCCCTTGTGGACATGTGCCAGGATAATTCTCTCAAAAAGCTTCCCCAGGATTGAGGTAAGACTAACTAGCAGAGAACTAGTCTTCTCAGGAGTCTTCGCTGCAGGTTTTTCTGGAGTCTTGTCTGCTTTCTTAAGCGTCCAAGGAAGTTTGGACAGAAGTTCTCCAGGCAGATGAGAGACGCAGTGAACTTGTTCACTGGCATGGTCTTGCATCAGATCAAGCATTGTAAAGTCGAAACTGACGTTATAAAGTTGAAACAGGGTGTTGATTTATAAACGCTGTCAGTACGAAACGTAACTCAAAACGTTGTAAGTCGAGGACTGCCTGTACAAACATCCTAAACTGATGGTCACTTGGCGTGACAATGTTGGTATGCTGCCTTGGAGATTACAACTTCAAGGGAAGTTAATGTTTATTTTCTTGAAATGGCTCAAAGCCAGATTTTAGAAAGAAATCTCTTCATTTATCCTGTGGTAACATATTTACAGTCCAGAACTTAACTATTCCTCAGAATGGATAATGTTTAGCTACCGTAGATGGTGCTTTTTCTTGAGCAGTCTAAGCAAGAATTATGTTTTTGTTCTGCTACCTTTAAAAGCTCCTTTTAAGGAATATTTCTAAATTTAAGAAACTAAGTAAAGCACCCAAGACCTAGTAGGTATTAAAAAAAGAAAAGAACCTTAGTAGGGGCATCTACACAACACACTTACTATGGAATTGCCTAATTAGCTCTGTAGTAAAGCATCACCCTCCATATGTGCAGAGCTATTAGGTTGGAGTAAACTAATTAACTCTGCTGTAGGTTAGTACTGCCCGATACAAGTACTATCCTATGGTGAAGTTATTTATTCTGCCATAATGCACAAGTAGTTGGTGACTGGGGCTGGCTGGGGCATGAAGATGCTACAGTGCAGGGGTTGCCTGCTGACTAGCCCTACACTGTAGCATCCTCCACAGCACAATGAGCCAGGGTAGAGCAGCTCTGGGCTGGTAGGCTGGCCCCCAGGCTCCCTGCCAGAAGGGGCTGTGCTGCCCCAGCTCAATGTACTAGACCCAGGTGCACACGTAAACACTGAGCCCAGGAGCAGTAAACTCTGGTACAACCTCTGCTGGAGTTTATTGTGTTGCATGAATTTCATGTGTAAATGTACCTACTATGTTTTTAAAAAGGCAGTATCTACTTTAAAAAAAAAATCCCATTTGAAAAAATATTCTTCACAATGCCTGAATGTACTTTATGAATCTGAGCTGAAATTCTTAGTAATGCTCACTTATGAAATAACTTGACCCTAGGAGAACTTTCCATCTTACCTCATCAGTTACTGTTTTCTGCATATATTAAAGCATCAAAATGTGTCTCTTACACATGCATGATATAATATGCACTTGTCTAATCCTTCTTGAATCTGTCACTGTTGCAATATCTTCTGACAATCACTTCCAAAGTTTAATTGTGACTTTTTAAAAAGGGATTTCTTCTTAACAATCTTAAATTATTACCTTTTCTCTATTACCTCTTTATTACCTCTTCTGGATAATACGTTCATATTCATTTTTGCTTCTGATCCATTTAGATCTATTATACCAGACACATATTTGTAGATATTGTAAATGCAATATTCTTGTTTAGTAAAAACACCCAATATTTAGGGGAAAAAATCAAAAGAGATGTTAAAATAAATTTTAAACTTTAAATAAAACAATAAGCACATATATAGACCAAAGAAAGTTGAAATATTAAGTTTTACATATCACGTGTGTAATATGTTTTACATATTACGTGTTACATATTCAACTCAGAGACTTATTTCTGAAAATCAAAATTCTGTTCCTTACATTTATTACAGCTGTAATGCTTAAGGGACAACTGAGAAGAGGACACTGCTGAACTATTTATTGTGATAAACATGGAATAAGCAACAAATTCTGGCCCAAATAGATTACCATCTAAAACAGAGAGCATGGAACAAACAAGAGCAGGGACAGGGATATAAATAGTCAAGCAGAATGAATGACAAGATAACCACAAATATCACGTTAGTTCCAGAATGTGGTGGTGGTATTCTTTGGCTTTTGTTTTGTTACTCCTCCTGTAAGTCATGTCTGAGTAAAGAATGAAGACATTCTGTTCTAATTCTCCTTCCCCAATTTACTCTGCTCTATTCCATGGCAGTGTTAGGAACCATTACCATTAATGTTCCTCATTATAACAATCACATGGTCTAGTGATCCTTACAATGAACTAAAAGCAAAGAAAATCTTGGTTTCTAATCTCAGCTGAACCACTGATTCATTAAGCCATCTGTAGTCAGGTTATATCAAACCCTTCTGATGTGAGCAACTAAACTAGAAGCTAAACTGAGATCAAGACTTCACTGATAGCCAAATGTTGCTTGTATTTAAATTGTGCTTTCCCAGGTACTTTACTAAACAATAGTCAGTCCTGAAGTAAGTAATGTTTCATCACTTGATGCATTTAGATTGTTAAAAGTAATTCTTAGAGCTAGACTAAATCTGAAATAGGTACAATGATGCAACTCCTTAAGAGCTATGCCTGTAATGCTTATCCCTAGAACCTTTTTCCATTGCAGATGTAGAGCTCTGAGAACACACTGAAACATACATTACATCACGTAAGTTTACTTAAGTATGGATGGGTTAAAACAGAGGGTGCCTGAAGGGGATGAACTGGTAACAACAAGAAGTTTGTTTGGTTTTTTAAGCTGTTAAAAACATGAAGGATCAAAAGTGAGGGAAATAATTAACCCTTGGGGAAACTTTAAAGTAAATGGATAAATGATGGACAGAACCTCTAAACTAATATTGGGGAGCCATAGTTTAATCCTACCTTATCCCAAACAGAATCCCATTCTAAAAATATAAAGGCTTATATCACTCTAATAAGACCAGGTGCTTATTGCCTTTTATTTTCATTCATGAGCAATGATGGGGCCAGATGAAGTCTTGCTGCTCATTCAGTTCTGTGGTTTAATATTTGCCAAGTATTTAACTGCAACTCTTTGGCTTGTACCTAGGGTGCCTGGGATAACATCCAAGTACTAATCAGGTCCATGAGTGCTTAAATTCCAAGATCAGACAATATTAGGTACATTCAGCCAATCCCACATACAACTACATGTAATATGCAACATACTCATTTCTGAGGCACTATGAAATACTTAAACACAAGAAAGTAAATTGCTACATGGATGGAGCATTTACCTTAACACAGAACTCACTGTTTTCAGGCAGATACTTATTATTAAGACAACTTTTAAGACTAAATATACTTTACTGCTGCTAATTTTTCACCAGCAGATCATGAGATTACTTGGAACAGTCTGAGCAACTAGACTCTGTCAAAAGCCAGTTTTATTGATCGATTAGTAATTGCTACAGTGGAGAAAGAATTCAATTTATAAGGTATTTATGTTTCAATGTATTTTTACTGTGTTGTAAAAACTCTCCAGCAAGCTTTTAGCAACAACAAAAAAGAGCACATTCAACTGCCTTTTACTTACAGATTGACATTAAGCTTTCTTGCAGTACCTTATCCCAAACAGAATGCCATTCTGAAAATATAAAGACTCTTAACACAGAGCTCTCCATCCAAACTATTCCCCCTATAGTTGTCAATCAACTTAAAGTTCATTGGGAATACTATTAAAGATGAGAGTTCCCCACAAACACTTTTCAGCTGTAACAAACCATCCCCTCTCTACACTTAAACCCTCTTTCCCATATGCCTCGCAACTTGCATCTTCTCTTTGAAAGCCTTGTAAACTCAGTGTCAGGAAAGCATTTGCTTAGCATTTCCACTACTGATCTTTGACATAGTCTGCTTCCCCCAATCTTTAATCCTTTGTACAAAATTGTGCAAGGGAAATTTTGTCACTGACTCCAATGAAAGTTGCTACTGTGTAAAGAACTGCTGGGCAGGGACCTAGTTTTCCAATGAGTTTCTTTATAATGTCAGATAGTAACTTATGACCTACTGTCTTGCTTCAGAAGGACTCCAAACTGCCTGGAATAAGGTTACTCAGGATGCGTATCCACCAGAGTAAAGAAACAGGCAGCAGGAAAGGGAGAATCCTTGTATCTCAGAAGTTTAGTGAATCACCAAAGGGAAGACCTTAAAATGGACTTCAGTGGTGAATGGAGTTAGTTTAATACATCACTAATAACATTATTAAAAGGCTCATCTTCTAATTATAAACGCCATGGTATATTTTTCAGTCTTAAATTGAAAAATCCCCTGCATTATATACAATTTAAAACACTGTTTAGAACTTATACTTCAGGATTACAAACATAGACAAAAATCACTAGCTATTGTGAATCTGTGCCTAAAAACAGAGGACTAATTGCTTAAGAGTTGAACAAGCCAGATAGATTCTGCCTACCATTATGCCCCTGTCAACCTACTGACTTCAAAAAAAGTTTGTGGGACTGCATGGACATAAGAAGACAACTTTTGATTTCTTTCCTCAGCTAGCATAATGGAAATTCAGAGATCAGAGGCAGATGTCAAGCCACGTCTTTGAAGAGTGTATTCATATCTCTATTTTGAAACATTTCTGTTTGGGCAACACAAATGCAGGATGTCTGCCGTGCCAGAGTTTAGTCAGACACATTTTGGCATACTGCATAAAGATGGAAAAACTGTTCAGAATTTATCATGATTTTACAACAACCAGCTTAATATCCAAAAACACTGGTGCTGGAGCAAGATCAGTTTTAATATCCATAATTCTACTTAGTAATCTTCAGACTAAAGCTCCCAAAAGAGCACATTCCATACAAAAAAGTAACACTATGGGATTTATCTAATAAAGCACAGTTTGGCACAAGGTATTACTGAGATACCTTTTATTTGTCAAATACCACAGGCAAGGTTCTGCCCTCTGTTACGCTTAGCCTTGCAGCCTTCATTCACACTGACTCTGCTGAGGGCAAAGTCTGGCAGTGTATTTACACAAGAATTTAAATAGGTAGACAGATATCAGGACTGTATCAGGAATAGAGGTTTTATGAATCATCTCCCACTGTCTTAATTTCCCAAGAGATTCCCTGTTGTAAATTTTCCAAAAAATCTTCCAGTAACCAAAGATTAATTACTTCTTTTTCACCTACTACCTTTATACAGCTTCTTAATAAGATGAAGTAATTTACTCCTCTGTGCAACTTGGTTGGGGAGTTGTTCATTAACTCTAATTTTGGCATTCCAGACAGATAAGACGGCATAAAGGTTAATGTGCTCATCTCACACAATTGATATTAAACAACTAATTCAGTTTGAGTTCAGTCCTCCATATCCTATTTAACAGTCTCCCACTCACTTCCATATGCAGAAGACTTGCAAAATCAAACCAGTTAATTGTTAAATATGCATGCACTGATATTTACAATATGGTGTAACTAGTCAATTCAGTATATGAAAGTTAACATAAAATTTTGTCCAGATCCAGCTTATGGGTGACCATGACTAAAAGTTTTGGACTGTCAGAAAGAAATAACTAAAAACAAATGGTCTTTTTTTAAAGCACAATATGCATTTAAAAAATAACCTAGGAGTAAAAAAAATAAAACTCTGCAATCCAAAAATAAACTCTCCAAAGAACTGCCTTGAAGCTTACTGTAGATGTAGAGATCCAACAACTGAAAATAAATAGTAAAAAATCTGCATTTTTATAATTAACCATGAATGAGTTCAGTATCAACATCATTTGAAGAATTTTAGTATCCTTATTTCACATGCAGAGAAACTAAGGAAGAGGGCCCAGCACTGATAGATGTTAAAGTCAAGGAACTTGAACAAGTGAGTTCAAAACTCAGGCAAGTGATTTAAAGAAGTCAACTGAAAGTCTGGTAAAACTAAAAATACACCCTCGGTTTCTCGAATCTCCTAGGCCTAGGTCTTAATGAGGACACCATTCTTCATCCTCTGTGCCAGTGTCAAGTCCAACACCACCCCAAATGGTCTATTTAAATGAACAAGACACATTCCACACCAAAGACAGCAGAGTTTGAATGTAATATAAACACAGACAAGATAAGACAAAGGAAAACTGTGCATTTAAGGAAAGGCATGGAAACGTTATCTGGAAGAATACAACAGGGACTGTTGGAAGGAATTGCTTCTAAGAAAACTTTTGCAAAAAGATGAGGATTTAAAGAATGGTTCCAAGCAGAAAAGGCAGCATGAAAGACAATGTGAAGATGGAAGTAAGAAACCAGAATGTATTTTTTTTTCAAAATAACTGCAACTATGGAGAAAGAAGGAGACAGAAAACTGTCATCTCCCTATAAAGACTTCACTCTCATTGAGCAAGGGAATCCTTGATGGTGACAGGGGAAGGGAACAGATGGTAATCATCACTTTCTGTCTAATGCTGCAACACCAAAAGGAGGTGCCAAAGTAAACATCTAACAGGAACATTTCTCTCTACTATTTTAATTGCTGCTAACAGAACGGAAAAAGTGCTCATGTTATGCTATGATTTAAAGGCTGCATTTCTAAATGCCATATCTGTAGCCATGACATTGAAGTAACTACCATGTAGGCAAGAAGTAAAAGAGACAGAACAGTGTTCCCCACTGACACAGACTTTGGCGTGTCTGTGTAACACTAAACTTTTTAACAGAGAACAAGATTTTACATCAGTTTCATGGTGTTATGGTTCCATAATGCAAACTGAGAAAGCTAATAATCATAGTAACACAGGACTGAAAATAAGCTCCAGGAGCATCTAGTCTAACCCTCTGCAGAGATGCAGGAATCACTGTTCCTGAGCCATCCCAGACTGATGCCAATTCAGCCTCCAGTAAAAGAGGTTCCACAACTTCCCTAGACAGCTTATTTCACTGTCCTACTGTCCTTACAGTTACAATTTTTCCCTGTAACCTGATTTAAATCAGTTTGTCAGTTATTAAAACCCACTACCACATATTCCGCCTTCTGTGCCAAGAGAGGACAATATTTCTCCACCTTCTTATGGCAGCCTTTCAACTACTGCTAAATCCCTCCTTAGTCTCATCTTCTCTCCACATACCTAACTCCTTCACACTTCCTCATACAGCTTGCTTTTCAATCATCTTTATTGCTTGCCTCTGGACCCACTCTGGGATCTCTGTGCCCTTCTTAAAATATGGTACCAAAACTGGATGCAATATTTCAGCCAAGGTGTAATCATCATCAAGTAAAGTGGTACCATCACCTAATGTTTTACATAATATTGTCCCATTAACACCATCCAAATCCCCCATTCTGTATTATACATGTGTTTTAGTTTCCTACAAGTAGCACCTTTAAATTATCTCTTCTATGTCCAGTTCTTCAATATATCAAGATCTATTTCAGTTTTAATGCTATCCTCCAAAGTGTTTGATACCCCTCCCCAGTCTTGTGTCATCCCTACATTTAACCAACATACTCTTCTCACTACATCCAAATCACTAATAAAAAAGGTAAACAGTACTGGAATGAAAGCAGACCACTCTGGAACCCCACTTGATACCACCTGCCATTCTGCCAGTGATCCATTAATAATTATTCTACACTTGCTGTTGTTCAACCCATTACATATCCACCTAAAGGTAATTCTACCTAGCCAATATTTCTCCAGTTTGTTAGAACAGCATCTTGAACTGTATCAAAAGTCTTAGTAAAGTCTGGGTTTATTATGTCCATCATGGTCTCCTTCTCCACCAAACCAGTTATCCTGTCAAAGAAAGGAAATCAATTTGATTTGATTCTAAACAAATCCCTGCTGGCTGCTAGCAATCACAACCTCATCCTACAAATATTCAGAGATTAAATGTTTTATACTTTGCTCCAGTAACTTCCAGGTACTGAAGTCAGATCAACCTGCCTATAATTCCCTGGGTCCTCCTTTTATCTATCCCGTAATATGAAAGGTGCATATCAGGGACTGGGAGAACGTGTTCACCAGGGCTCCCCAGGTGAGGGCTAGGACTAATGGTCATAAATTGCTGGAAGACCGCTTTAGATTAGACATAAGGAAAAACTTCTTTACTCGAGTGTCCAGGGTCTGGAATAGACTGCCCCCCCCCCCTTCAAAATGGTACAATCACCTATTCTGGATATCTTCAAAAAACTTCTGGATGCTCACCTTGCTGGGGGCATCTGACCCCAGCAGTCTTTCCTGTCCAAGCGCAGGGGGGCTGGACCTGATGATCTCGAGAGGTCCCTTCCAGTCCCTAACATCTATGAATCTATGAGCCCTCCTCCAGTCCTTTGAGAACTTACCTGTTATTCGTGACTTGCAGATATTATTAGCAGTGGTTGTGAGATGTCTTTACCTAGTTCCTTCAAAATCCAAAGGTGCCATGCTGACTTTAATTTGTTCAAGGTACTCAAAAGTTCTATGATGCACTCTTTACTTACCAGGATTTGCATCCTTTCCCCAACTTTATTTATATTAATTTTGCTAGTTGTCTGGTCAGTCTGTCACCATCCCCATAGGACCTAGCTTGAAGCCCTCCTCATCAGTCAGCTAGACAACATTCAAATGTATGTTTCCCTGTCTTCGTCAGATGGAACCCATCTCTGCACAGCAATTATTTTTACAGAAAATCAACCCACTTTTAAAGAAGCCAAAGCCTTTGGCTGCCTTCTCCACAATATGAAGGCCACTGCCTGGGCCTTTAACAGTGAAGATTGATGAGAACATCACCTGCACACTAAGCCCCTTATCCTCCTGCCCAAAGTCTTAAAGTCTCTTTTGATCTTATCAGAGTCACTCCTGGAATTATCATCAATGCCCATGTGTATGGGTAGGAAGGGGTCCAAGGATCAGATAAGGTTTGGAAATTTCTGCATCATGTCCCAAATTCAGGCTCTGTGCATGCTGCACATTTCATGGGATTCCAGGTCCAGATGACAAACAGATGCTTCCATCCCCAGCAGGACGGAGTCCCCAGTTGCTGCCACTCTCCTCCTGGTGAGTGTGATAGTCACAGAACTGCCATCCCTACGGCAGTGTGACCCCTGCTGTCTAACCTATGCTTCTGATCTTTTTTCTCTAATGATTAATGAGATGTTGTGGGCATATATGTGTGCTGACAGTCTGAAAGTATTCTGATCCTTCTATGGAAGTCACATATTGTCAAGCATCTTCCCTGTTATTCAGTCTCTACTGCACAGTCCTCACGGATTCTTAAGTATGCCCTGACTGCAATAGCGGTTTATGACTTTCATCTACTAGGCCTCTGAATATACTTGTGTCACTAGTCCCTGAACATCTTCTTCTAGCATAGCTACTCCTAATTTGCATGTTGGACAAAGTCTCCTCTGCCCACAGGAAAGAAAACAAACATGGCATATCTCATGCATATCACAACAACTGACCTACTTCACTATATCCATTATTTGTTTCCTAACTGCTCCTGGAAACCTCAGAGCACATATATTCCTGCCCTTTCAGAAGTTCCCAGATAAACTAATTCTGCTTCTCTCCTGTTAGTTTTCATTTAAATTTCTTCAAAACAAAATTCAAAATCAAGTCTGCTGCAAATTAAAATAAAACTGAGGGAAAGGTTACTTGCAGTTATGAGAAACAGCAAGAGGAAGCAGTAACACTGAGATAATGTTAGTTTATGCCATTTGGTGCTGACTGATTAGTTCCAATTGACTTCCCAATTCAGGAACTTGTTCATAGAAAGGAAGTCCAGCCTAAGACACTTGCATGTTTCACAACTTTTTTTGTCTTTTGTACCATTAACTTCAGATCCAGATTTGAACTCCCCTGCAATTTACAAGAGGTGTTTAGGCCAGGGGCTGGCACAGATCTTTGAAAACTCCTGGCGCTCTGGTGAAGTGCCCGAAGTCTGGAAGAAGGCCAATGTGGTGCCAGTCTTCAAGAAAAGGAGGAAAGTGGATCTGGCTAACTATAGGCCCATCAGCCTGACTTCTATCCTGGGGAAGATCTTAGAAAAGTTTATTAAAGAGGCCATCCTTAATGGACTGGCCAACACCAACATCCTAAGGGATAGCCAGCACGGGTTTGTTGCAGGTAGGTCTTGCTTGACCAATCTCATTTCCTTCTACGACCAGGTGACCTATCACCTGGACAAGGGAGAAGAGATTGATGTCATATATCTTGACTTCAAAAAAGCCTTCGATCTGGTATCCCATGATCACCTCTTGGCAAAACTGGCCAGTTGTGGCCTTGGGTCCACCATGATCCGCTGGCTGGGAAATTGGCTCTGTAGTCGGACCCAGAGGGTAGTACTTGATGGCAGTCACTCATCATGGTGTCCTGTGACCAGTGGGATCCCCCAAGGCTCTGTCCTTGGACCCATATTGGTCAACATCTTCATTAACGATGTGGACATTGGAGTCAAGAGCGGACTGGCCAAGTTCGCCGATGACACCGAACTTTCGGGAAAAGCATCCA